GTGTGTGTGCGTGCGTGTGTGTGTGTGCGTGTGTATATATATATGTGTGCGTGTGTGGTTGCGTGCCACGCACCCACTAATTTATTACAACCCCAAATACTTTCAAAGCAACTAAAATTAATAGCACTTTCCATGGATGAAATAATATGCATTTATATATATACACATATATATATATATATATATATATATATACAGATGGATTGATGTCTATCAGCGTATGCTGGTTGGTCGTGTGCGTGCTACCTCATGGGAGATGACTGGAGGCCGGCTCATGTCTGATCCCAGCACACTGATCAATCAATCCCATACATATACAGCTATGATATTAAGCCCGGCGTCGGGTCGGGGTTGGCTTGTCGGACTCGGGAGGATATGGGGTGGCTAGGAACTGCGATGAGTCGCTGGTTTAGGAAAATGAAATGGTATAAAGGCGTCGTGGGTAAGTTGTGGGTTGATATGAAGGTTAGACCTCTGGTAGAGTATGTGATAGTAGCAGCACATAATATCTAAAGATATTCTAAATGTTAATCTATAGATATAATCTAAAATATATCCCTGTATTACGCACCACTGATAGGATATAGTATCTCAAAAAGGTTAGCAGGTGTGAATATACTGCGGATATACTGTCGCAATACGACAGAAACATTCGTCGTCCAACAATTGTCACTTATATCTAACATCTTTGATATTCGCGACAAATATTTTGATCAACGGGTCTGAAACTAGTGAACAGGTGATTGTCAAATTCTACGAGATGACAAATGTCTGCTGCGTGCGTGGAACGAAAGCAATGCTAAGAGGAATGTATCTGTTAGCGACAAATGTCTACGACAACATCTGGCAATGTCCGCCACAAATGTGTCTGTCACCGACTAATTTCTACGACATCGTCTGGAAATGTCCACCACAAATGTGTCTGTCACCGACTAATTTCTACGACATCGTCTGGCAATGTCCGCCACGAATGTATCTGTCACCGACTAATTTCTACGATATCGTCTGGCAATGTCCGCCACGAATGTATCTGTCCGCGACAAATTCCCACGACGACGCCTGGCAGTGTTCACGACCAATGTCCCGTCCCCGACAAATAACTACTGTGCGCGTTCATCACTATTTCCGTGCTCTCCACACGCGCACGCACACCGACACTGATCACTGACATGTACCGAGCAACCACTCCGATTTCCATCGCTGTTAAATAGCCAGCCGACGCGAAACGCATTTAGGAAAAACCGATATAATAGTGGCGTTTTCCTATCAGAAATACCACACGCTCGCATACGGTGTGTCTGCTGCGATGCGACTTCTTGCTACCAGAAGGTCTGCATCTCTGTCACTGATCTGTGTGTAGC